GAATCTCAGCATGGATTCACGAGAGGTCGTTCCTGCCTGACAAACTTACTGACGTTTCTCAATGGAACACTTGAGGTAATTGACAGTGATAAGGAATATGATATTGTTTTGTTTGGATTTTAGTAAAGCCTTCGATAGAGTACCTCACAAGAGACTCTTAAGAAAAGTGGCAGCTCATGGTATAGGAGGTAAAGTTCTAGCATGGATAGAGGCATGGCTTACCAATAGAAAGCAGAGAGTTACCATTAATGGAGTGAAATCTGAATGGGGATTAGTCACTACTTGGGGTCTACTGTGACGCTTGTTTGTCAGTAAGACTTTACCATGAAGACAGAACGGTAGTTACATAAGTTCCTGTGCACCACATTCATTATTTCACATTCATTTCGCATCCCAGGTTTCTTCATGCACCGTCTTTTGAAATTTAGGGTCTTCCTGTATTTCATGAGCATACCTTTATTTTGGAAATACATATAAACTTGCATAAGTCCTTTGCATAATTTTATCACTTTTAGGTGGGAGGTTAATGACTTCGTGTGTTTTCTTGTAGGAAGTAATTGCATTTTCTTTGTTCACAAAGCGAAGGCACATTTTTTTTGTCCCCCGTCATAACATCTTACAGATTCTGATTGTGTAACATTTAGATTTCGTTCCTAATTTGCATATTGCTACGTTCAGCTAACATTGTCTATGCAGTGAGCAAATTTTTAAGCTCTGCTGTACATAACACGTTTTCCTGTAAATATGAACAATTCGTTTTAAATATCCATAAAAAAAATATTAGAAGCAAGCATCCTGTGTGGTGTACACTCGTGTTCTACATACTTGTAACAAGCTTAGATTTATGGTTGTAGGAAAATCGATGTTTAAGACATAAATTTGCACTCTTATTCTCCATAATTTGATATTAGTTTATGTGCAGCCTGTGGCAATTCTGCCAAGTTCCTCTACCTTGGTTGCACCTTACTCTTGCCTTGGTTTTTCTGGGTGTGATGTGGGCCTCAGTTGCATTGCTTTGAGCTAGTTGATTCCTGAATTTCCACTTCAGTTTTCAATATCTTCGTATTTCAAGTCCCTGGCTTAACAGTGGGACTGTACATAAGACCTTGAGCTGCTATCCGACTATGGATGGTAGACTCTTAGAGTGAGTTGTTCTCCAGCCATCTTGAACCTGACAGGCTGTGTCGATTACTTGGGTGAAATAGGGTACCCTGGGAAATAGTCTAATAGTTAAGGTCCCTGTTGTCATCTAATATATATATCTAATATTTTATATATATATATATATATATATATATATATATATATATATATATATATATATATATATATATATTAGGAGAAGGTGTGGAGTTAATAAAAGTATTAGTCAGAGGACTGAAGAGGGTTTGTTGAGGTGGTTTGGTCATTTAGAGAGAATGGATCAAAGTAGAATGACATGGAGAGCGTATAAATCTGTAGGGGAAGGAAGGCCGGGTAGGGGTCGTCCTCGAAAAGGTTGGAGGGAGGGGGTAAAGGAGGTGCTGTGGGCGAGGGGTTTGGACTTCCAGCAAGCGTGCGTGAGCGTGTTAGATAGGAGTGAATGGAGACAAATGGTATTTGGGACCTGACGATCTGTTGGAGTGTGAGCAGGGTAATATTTAGTGAAGGGATTCAGGGAAACCGGTTATTTTATATAACCGGACTTGAGTCCTGGAAATGGGAAGTACAATGCCTGCAGTCTAAAGGAGGGGTTTGGGATATTGGCAGTTTAGAGAGATATATTGTGTATTTTTATACGTATATACTTCTAAACAGTTGTATTCTGGGCACCTCTGCAAAAACAGTGATTATCTGTGAGTGAGGTGAAAATGTTAAATGACGAAAGTATTTTGTTTTTGTGGATTTTCTTTCTCTTTGGGTCGCCCTGCCTCGGTGGGAGACGGCCGACTTGTTGATATATATATATATATATATATATATATATATATATATATATATATATATATATATATATGGCTTCATCGGTCCAATATAAAGCAGAGAGGGGCTTGGAGAGGAATAAGAACATAAGAAAGGAGGAACACTGCAGCAGGCTTGTTGGCCCATACTAGGCAGGTCCTTCACAGATCCATCCCACTAATAGAATATTTGCCCTCATATGACCATAAGAAATTAGGAACACTGCAATATGTCTACTGGCCTAAGCGAGGCAGCTCCAATTCTCCCCACTGGCTTAAGCCAATGCCTTGAGCTAGTGATGTCAGACACGTCACTTAATGGATTAGCACTGCGTCCGACCTAGTAACTAGTCAGGTCCATTTCACACCCACCCACACCCACTCATAAGAACAGAAAGAAGGAACACCGCAGCAGCCCCATCGACCCACACGAAGCAGGTCCATGTCCCCCCCCCCGGATTAGCCCGATGACCCACCTACTCAGGTCACTTCCACTTAAGGAAGGAGCACGGCATCAGACCTAGTAGCACAGCTAGTCAGGTCCAACTCACACCCACCCACACCCACTCATGTATTTATCTAACCTATTTTTAAAACTGCACAACGTTTTTGCCTCTATAACTGTACTGGGGAGTTTGTTCCACTCATCCACAACTCTTTTACCAAACCAGTGCTTTCCTATATCCTTCCTGAATCTGAATTTTTCCAACTTGAAACCATTGCTGCGAGTCTTGTCTTGGCCGGAAATTTTCAGCACGTTATTTACATCCCCTTCATTTATTCCTGTTTTCCATTTATACACCTCGATCATATCCCCCCTAATTCTACGCCTTTCGAGAGAGTGCAGATTCAAGGCCCTCAGTCTATCCTCATATGGAAGATTTCCGATACATGGGATCAACTTTGTCATCCTCCTTTGTACGTTTTCCAGAGCATTTATATCCAATCTGTAATACGGTGACCAGAACTGACCAGCGTAGTCTAAATGAGACCTAACCAAGGATATATAGAGTTGAAGAACAACCTGAGGACTTCTATTATTTATACTTCTAGATATGAAACCATGGATTCTGTTAGCTTTATTGCGAACATTAATGGTTTTTGATTACTGCTAACCAGAACTCCTAAATCCTTTTCGCAATCAGTATTATTAAGATCTACATTATTTAGTATATATGTGGCATGGTTATTTAACTGTCCAGTATTTAGAACTTTGCATTTGTCAGTATTAAACTGCATCTGCCACTTCTCCGACCATTGCATCAGTCTAATCAAGTCGTCCTGGAGTGCTCTAGTGTCCTCATTAGAATGAATTGGACGGCCTATTTTGGTGTCATCAGCAAATTTGCTTATGTCGCTATTTATTCCCTCATCTATGTCGTTTATGTAAATTGTGAACAACAACGGGCCCTGAGGAACACCGCTTGTTACGTGCCCCCATTCTGATTTCTCCCTGTTTACACAAACTCTCTGCTGCCTATTTGTCAGCCATGCCTCTACCCAGGAAAAAATTTCTCCTCCTATTCCGTGTGCCTTAAGTTTCCTCAATAGCCTCTGATGTGGAACTCTATCGAAAGCCTTACTGAAGTCCATATACACAATATCATATTCATTACCATGATCTACCTCCTCAAACACCTTAGTGAAAAAAGTTAGTAAATTCGTAAGACAGGAACGCCCCTTTGTAAAACCGTGTTGAGATTCATTAATCAATTTATGCCTATCAAGATGGCTACGAATTGTTTCGGCAATTATTGATTCCATAAATTTTCCCACTATGGAGGTAAGGCTTATTGGTCTATAGTTCGAAGCTAAGAACCTGTCACCGGCCTTGTAAATAGGTATAACATTTGCCATTTTCTACTTTTCAGGCACTATGCCAGTTTGTAGTGATATGTTGAAAAGATTAACTAAGGTATGCTAAGTTCCTCTTTACATTCCTTTAACACCCTTGCAAACAGTTCATCATTGCCTGGGGACTTGTTAGGCTTTAGTTTCTCTATTTGTCTGAGGTCCATGTCACTAGTTACCGCAGTCATGCATAGTTTATTATCCTGCTCTACATAATCTATTATTTCAGGAATTTCGCTAGTATTTTCCTGGGTAAAAACTGAGAGGAGGTAGGTATTAAGAATCGATGTGTTCAATCCATCACTCTTGTAGAAATTACAGCATATGGCTGGAGTAGTGACTTATATACTGTTGCTTATATACTGACTTTGTATTGGACTGATGAAGCCACTATGTAACGAAACGTTTCCCTAAAAAAGATTCCCATATGTTGTATGCCACAATCTTGAACTTGGGATCTTGATTCAAGGAATTCATCAACACTTGTCCAACCTTCGGACGAAAACCTACTTACACTAGCTGATGGTTCCACTGTGATCCCGGCTCCTCTTTCTTCCACTCACCTGACTATATAAGCCACATATTCGTATTATGCCACAACTTGTATTCATAACAAGTTTGAGTTTTAGTATCACGTCTCAGTCTGCGACCTGGAAGCTCTCTTCGGTAAGGAGCCTCGGCGCGTTGCGCCCATCACACTTCCTGAAGAACAGGCTTTGTATTAAGTTCAGTAAATTTAAGAACAGTGCTTTTGTTTGAGATCACTGCTTATGTTTATGAACAACGATTTTGTTTACAGTCTTATTGAACATCACTGCTTTTGTTTATTATGGATGACTTTTGTTTCAGATGAATGCTTTTGTTTAGGATCTGTGCGTTTCTTAAAGAACAAAACATTTGTTTATTATCGAGTATTTTGCTTAATTTCTATAAATTTGTTAAAGAATAAAGCGTTTATTTGACATCAGTATTTTCAAGATCAGTGCTTTTGTTATCAGTAATATTGTTTATGATCAGTTTTTGTAGTCAATGTATTTTTATTTGCGATCACTGTTTTTTGTCAGTTATGAAAGCTTTTGTTTACTGTCAACGCTTTTGTTTAAAATCTCAGTGTAATCTCAGTGTTCGGTCTTTCTCCTGTAATACAAATGCTTCAGCACTTAGTCTGCCGCTTCCAGTATTGCTAAGTCGCTTTGTGTTTATTTTCAGATGAGGGAGGAGAAGAAAGTGCATCAGTAGCAATATAACTTGTGAATAAGAGTCAGGGTTATCCTTTATAAAACAAAATGGATGATCTACCGAAGGAGGAACTTAATGGGTTAAGATTCATTATGGCTGTTAACGTCTGTGGCCGACATGTCATGTATAAAACTTTCCGATGGGGAACCCCAGATAAACCTGATAATGTGAAGCTGGATGAATACTTAAATAATTTGAAGTCAACATCAACAGCAAACTACTCGAAGTTGACAGGGAAAAGCAAAAAGTTCAATAAAACGCAAAAGGAGTTGATCAATAAAAGTTCAGATGGATCCATGTTTGATGTCTCAATGCTCCATCTAAGCATCAAACTTGCCTGTGAGAATGTAGCCCTTTTCGATGACGAAAAATGGTGGAATCCAAGTGGTGAAATGGAGTATTACATCTCTGCTATAAAGAAAGTTCGGAATGATGTGCTTCACGGTCAACTTGCTGTGACTGATAAAGAACTTTTTGAAAAGATTATTGAGTTTCGAGAGCTTTTAATTAACTGTCTTAAGACATCGGGAGATCGGTATATGCAGGACCAGAATGAAGTGGATATTGAGATGAAGAAACTCAATGATGATCTGGACATTATCATGGAAAAGACTCTTGGCATGGAGGATATAGTGACACATATTAGTGATGATGTAAAGCAACTTATGCTAGATGAAAGCAGTAAAATACTGAAGGAGGCTTTTCAAAAAATTCGTTATGTAAACCCAGTGTCCTTTATCACCGATGATGTACTCCTTAAAGTAGATGATATATTTGTTGATGTCGAGGTCAAAGAGGGTAAACGTGGAGGTGACGGTAAACATGTAAACTACAAAGATCTTCTCCAAATTGTTCATAACATATCAGCACCTTCGTCCCAGAGTTCTGCCACACTACAACAGGATCCATTAACAAGACCTAAAATGCTCTTACTTGAAGGTTTGGCAGGCAGCGGCAAGACTACTTTAGTGAAGCTAGTGGCAGAGGAATGGATACAAGGTAGTCAAGGCAACCTGAAGGGCTTAGATAATTATGAACTTCTACTGTGGGTGCAATGCAGGGATCACTCTGTCAACTCCTACCAGTGCCTTCTAAACTCCCTGATGCCAGATGTGTCCATAAACTTCAAGAACCTTCTTCCAAAGATAATGAATCTTTGTAGGATCATAATTATCATTGATGGTCTTGATGAGATGAATACAAATTCTATAAAACTCGTGGAAAGCCTTTTACACGAATATCAGAATTCCTCTCACACAACTTTTTTATGCACATCTAGACCAGAAAAAGTTGACATGTTCATGAGGATGATCCCTGAAGAATACGATGTGAAGAATGCTGAACTACAAGGAATAACTAAACAACTATTGCCAGAATTTGTGCGTCGGACTCATCAAGAGATATCCCAAAAAACGAAGAGTAATCGAAGCACTAACAAACTTGTAGGCGAAGTAATGAGACTATCAAGTCTTCATGAACATTTGAAATTGCCAATGAATTTGACATTTTTCATTTACATTTGGGACACGAAGACAGACAATTTAAACACAATGCCTGTCACTCAAACGGAGCTTTACTATGAAATTCATTTGTTGTGTCAAGAGAAGTTAAAGGAGAAATTGGTGACCATATCTGCGAAGATGAACACCATGAATAAAGAGGACCTGGATTCAAAGGTCAATACCATTTTGAAAAAGATATATGTAATTTCACTGAAGACCCTATCAATTGACCAACTGACCCTTGAGAATTCAACGGTAGATAAGTTGCACTTAGATTGTAATAATCTAGGTTTGCCTTCTGACGAGGTTTTTTCGGCATTCTTCAATTTGAAACCCATTTGGACATGGCGAGGCGTCGAGGAGCAATATTCTGCACCCCATAAAGGAATCCAAGACTACTACAGTGCTCTACATATTGTTATAGCGCTCAAGGAGCAATCTTCTGGTATTCCAGACTTCTATAACCAGAGTGTTCCTGATACCGATACTGCACCCTCGTTAACAACACCGGATTCGTTTGGCAAGATCAAAGAAGTGCTGGAACAGACTCTCAAACCAGTCGCAGTAGACATGACCAAGTTAGTGAATGTTTTTGTACACGTGGCCGGACTGCTGCACTTGTTCTTCGATCAGGTACCTGAGTCCTTCGCATTAGAAATTGTTCGTCTTCTACGTGAGTCCGGGGTAAAGAACGAGTACCGTTGGCTTAATATTCTTGAAAACACGAAGATGAATACAGTGACATGCCAAGCTATAGCTGACAACATCAATACTAAACGGAATATAAAAATAGAAGATAAAAGTGTAGGGAGCTATGCAGCTCTCCTGCCATACATCAAGCCTTCTAAGATACGTATTACTCTCTATGATGATCCTGGTGACCTGCCTCGCCTACCAGAGTTATTGTCTAGCCTCAAGCGCCATCACTGCACTCTTTTCACTCTGTCTCATCATTATGGTTATGCAGAAACAGCCACTACCTCTGATGACATCCTCAGACTTGTGCAGCCTCG